TGTAATTGGGTTATCAGTCTTTTTCTTCTAGAAGCCCAAGGGTATTTTGTAAACTTTCATTATGAGACTTGTCTGAGATGGCATTACAAAATGGTTGTTCTCAGTCTATAGGTTTTCTTTTTACCCTGTTGGAAAAAGTGTTTTATGCATACATGGATTTAATCTATAGATGGTCTTATTCATGAATTTTATCCTCTGGTTGTACATTTCTGGCTGTATTTGGCAGTCTCTTTATACTTTGCACTAGGCTGTCTAAGCTTGATCCCAGTTTGTTTCTTATGAGCTTTATGGTTTGGGGCTTTTCTCCCATATCTCTGTTCCACCTTGAGTTGATTTTTGTGTATGATGTGAGATATGGATCCTGAGATGACGTATTAATAATTATATATCCATTCTATGGTCTTTAGGAGGCAATGATAGGTCATTGTAAAGTTGTCAACTTCTTTGCTAGAAACTTGGTTTAATTTCTGGCCAATGCACAACATAGCCACATTCGTCTTTCAGTAGAGGATTGTGTGTTCCCTGTGGTACTGAACAGGCTGTGATGAAGTTTCCAGACTAACACAGAATTGAGAGAAAGGTCTGGCAATCTATATCTATATATTAGCAACTGAGAATCCCATGTATCACAAATGTCCGTTCCCTCTGTGCATGGACGTGCGATGAGCTGGGACAACATGTTAACAGCAACAAATAAACGTTATATTTAAACGTTAACAGGTTGCCAGTAAGTGGATTAGGGTTTTTAGAGAAAGTTTTTAGAATGTGTGGAACTTGGAGCAAGTGAAGTAAGAACAATATGGGGGCAGCAGCTCACATGTGTATGACAGGAAAGGAAGTGTCACCAAATTAAGTATCCTGACTAGGACAGAGAGGCGACGTAGGGATCTGAGCACAGAGGGCTGACCAATTAAGGAGAGCTTAATACACAACATTGGCTATTACAATCTGTCCTTATTGAGGACTTTTGCTTTCTAAAAATATAACCTGAAGTTATTTTTTAAGTCTTCCATGGAAGCTGACAGTATTTAAACAAAAAAACCCCAAAAACCTCTTTTCTTCCTAGTATGTATTAAAATTCCAAGAAGATGCTAAATACCAAGTCCATCCCACCCTATCAGGTTCTTTGGGAGGGGGGTTTGGTCTTTGGGTTTTTATTTGTTTGTTTGTTTTGTATGAGGAAGGGCTCTATTTACTCGTGGAGCAACGGCAGGACTATTATCAGTATGTTTCAGGATATGAAAAATGTCAACCCTCTGTATGGATTGCAAACCCTGTCCTATGAGTTACCACATTGGATGGTGCCAACCTTACTAATGTTGCTAATGTCCACCATTAGTATATCACACAGAAGTTTGACATGTTGTTGTTGTTGTTGTTGTTGTTATGCGCTATTGAGTCTCAATCAAATGTACAACAGCCCGGAAACCTGTTCTATCCTGTGACAACTTTACTGTCTCCGACACAACTACCCTAATTACCCCAGTCACTGAATCAATATGTTTCATTGATGGTCTCCCTCTCTTTCTCCGTCACTCCACCCATCCAAGCATCATGTCCCTCCTTGCAACATACCCAAAATATGTCATATGAAGCCTCAGAATCCTTACATCCAAGGAGCAGGCTGATTTCACCCTCTCTAGGACAAACCTGTTTGTTCTCCTTGCAGCTGATGGTATGTATATTCAAAACTCTTCTCCAGCACCACAGCTCAAAGGCATCAATTCTCTTTCTATCATTCCTAGTCATTGTCCAGTTCTCTGATGCATAGCAAGCAATTACGAAGAGTATGGCCTGGAACATGCACTGACATCGTTGTTCTTTGGTACTCTAGGGAAGTCCCTGACAGCCAAAACATTCTCAATGCATCTCTTGATTTCCTTGCTGCTGGTACTAAAAGTGTTGATTGTGGAGCTAAGCAAAGTGAAACTGTTAACAATGTCAGTCTCTTCACCATCCATCATGATGCTGCCAATTGACCCAGGAGTGAGAATTACTGCCCTAAAAAATACGAATGTAGAAGGCATAGTGATAAATTTCTCCTTGAAATTTTAATATAGAAAAGACAGAAAAAAAAACAACCACTTCAAATATTTGTCTTCCTTATTCAGTGTCCAACTTTCACATAAAAGTAATGGAAAATGCCATCTATATGAAATATATAGAGCAATGGAAACTGTCATGATTTGGGCAAGATGCACATAATTCTTTAAACTGGCAACCTTGTCTTTACCACTTTGCAGCAAATTGCTTAATATGATATATTTGTGTTTGTTTGTTTCTTAACTTCTGCTACCATGGTTGTAAATTGTGGAGTCAAGTACGATTAAATCATTGCCAACTTTAGTCTTTTCTCCACTGATGATGATATTGTGAGAATTTTTGCTTTTTTGGGGGGTTGAGATATAAGCCAAGTTGAAGGCTGTATTTTTTTTATCATCCTTAGAATGTGTTTCAAATCTTTTTCACTTTCTGTGAGCAAGAGTGTACTATTTGTATAATGTTGGTTAATCTTCCTCCAGTCTTGTTGCTACTTCTTTAAATAGCCCAGCTTCTCAAATTATTTGCTTGGCACACATATTGAATAGTATGTTACTCTTTTTGTTAAGTGTTGTCAAGTATTACTCCTAATGACCCCATGAAAAACAGATCTGAACCCTGTCTTAGATCTGAACATTGCATTGTGTCATCCTCATCCTCTCTGACATAGGTGAGCCCATTGCTGTAGTTACTGTGTCAATCCATCTCATTGATGGTTTTCTTGTTTTTCACTGATCTTTCCAAGCAATGTTGTGTAATGTCGAGTTGAAACCAACTCATAGCTGATCTCCAGTAGGTTTCCAGAGGCAATTAATCACAGGGGAGGAGTTTCCCCATGCTTCTCCCTTGGAACATCTTGTGGAATCGAACAGTGCACCTTCAGGATTGCAGCACAGTTTCTTGCCACTAGGCTACCCTTCTCAAAAAATGCCCGAAGTATGTGAGAAGAAGCTTTACAATCTTTGTCTCTAAGGAGCCTTCAGCCTGTACATCCTCCAGCACATACATATAACCTTGACACATAACTTTCCTGATTTTAAACCCTGTTATTTCCCCTAGTCTGTCTAAACGAATGCTTCTTGAGCTATGTAAAGGTTTAATTTTAGTGCCATTATGTGTTCTGGAATTCCTATTTTTCTCACTGTTATCAATACATTATTAGACGTTTCAAAAAATAGTTAATGTAGAATTTTAGCTTTGTGGGTATATTGATAACATGTAATCTGGGATTCTGACAGATTGATTTTGTTGTTTAACTACAGAGATTTTCTTTTAAATAAAAATGATAAATTTATGCTTAAACACTAAACCAATATTTCCTAGTCAGTCATCTTGGTGTCACCTTCTCTGACAAATGTCATCTGGCGTGGTCCACATTTTTGGCATCCCTCCACCTCCAATGATGCCATTAGCGGACACATGGCATCATGCATTTGTCAAAACCCACAGAACTGTACAACACAAAGGATCAATTCTAATCTAAACTGTCAACTTTAGTTAATAATGATGTAGCAAATAAAACTGAAGTACAGAATGTTAATAATAAGAGAAACGGTGTTGGGTGAGGGGAGGATATGTGAAGACTCTCTGTACTTTTGGTACAATTTTCCCATAAACCTAAAACGGCTCTGAAAATATTTTTTTAAAAAATATTAGTACTCTCCCAAACTTTTGTTTGAATTAAAAAAAAAAAAAAAGCTTGACTAGTTAACCTGTCTTAAAGTTCCAGCAGTACACCAATGTGTGACAGAGAATGAATGACGGACTTGCAGACATAGACAACTTAGAAGCTTAGTGTCATAACTATAAGGAAAGTAGTTTGTTCATGCTTACCTTAAGAGACTTGAGGTAAAAGGAGAGAAAATACACCTTTGGGTGTGACCAGGGGCGGAGCTGAAGGATTTGTTATGCTCCAGCACTACAGCCCTCTGGCTGGAGGAATGCCATACTACATTCATTTTCCAAGTTGTTTGGGTGGGTCACAATTGCACTTCAACATCCTGTCTGCAAATGCTAAATAAACACCGAGTTCACGTCAAACTACAGAACTAAGACCCAACGTACTAACCAACGTACTAATCATTTACGGAATCAAAATTCTTAAATTATTTTAGCTTGAAAACTCACACCCAGTAGAATTGAAATCGGCATGTCCAGAAGCATACCTACCGCTCCTTCTCTTAGGAACAGTTTAATCAGCTAACATGTTTACCATAAAATAATATTTATTATTATTATTAATTATTATTCCAGATGTAGACAGAAGGTCCAGGATGGGTCTTCAGAATAAGAAGAGATGATGCATATCTTCATTCCTTACTAAAAAATTAGCAAGGATGTGTATTGAAATCAATGATGTTTACATATCATTTCCCAAAAAATAAGGGTTAGAAAATGTTGTGTAAGGTAGCTGCCTCAGTGCATGCAGCCACTTGTCCAACAATAAATACATTTGGTATTTTTTTTTTAGTTAAAACATTCCAACACAAACCTGATGCAATCATGCCAGCTACACTCTGTTGACTTTTGTTGAGGCAGCCTGCATAGACTTCAACAATCTTGAGGTGTGACAGTTCATTCAAATGAATAGCTGGCAAGTCCTCAACTCCTCATAACTTTGCTTCTGAAAGAAAAATGGTAGTTTTCACTGAGGTGCTTAGAGAGAAGATGCCTTTTAAAAGAAATTAATAGATACACAAACAAGCAACTCGCTGGCGGGAGGCTTTGTTCCTTGTAAAGGTGCTCCTATAATCTTAACCCTGAATAACACAGACAGCTCATTTCCCCAGGAGGAAATGGTTTTGTAAGTTTTGAGAGGGCTCCTGGCTGCTTCGCTGATTTAAAGTCCTGGTCTGGCTGGGTCTGCCCTTGGCTTTGTACATTTCAGCAGTTGACGAGGCTGGGCTGGGCGCTGTGGTTTGTGTGTTGGTTTTTGTTGGTTTGGGTTTTTTCCCCCCTCCCTCACTTCCCTGCGATGTTTTGATCTGCCTTCCTACAGACGTCATACAGCCCTTGAGGAATAGTTTCTGCCTCATGAGATTGAGTGATAGTTCTCATTCACAAAGGCATACAGTCACATTTTAAGCAGGGGACAAAAACGGAAACAGCAGTCTCAGGTAAAAAGCAGACGGCCCAAGCGAAGTGTGGAAGGAAAGCTTTTGTTCCCTCTCTGCTCTCTTGGCGCCACCGACAAGCGTGTTTTCCTCTGGTCGCCCTGAAATGGAACTTCCCTGACAGCTCTGCGCTGGTTCACCGTAGCTCTGGGTCATTTTCTTTTCTCTCTGCCCAAGTACTTTTCAGAGTGTTGGAAACCTTTAAACCTGTTATTACTGAATTGCCAAAAGGAGATCAAGTGGCTCTTTCACGGAGCTGTTTTCCCTGGTGACCTAGATGAAGAATAGATTGAAAATTCAGTTCCTCCCTTGGCAATACCAGAGAAAAAAGAAGCTGTCACTTCAGAACAGCCTAGTGCTGGAGTAAATTCGGTCTGAGGGAGGAAAGCGCTCCAGCGTCTCACCGCCTTCCCTATGAGCCACCTTTGGAGCAGGAGGGGGACTGTTGGAAATTTGGATTTCTTTAAGCAGTCTGTCTTGGAAATGGAATATATATAAAGCCTTCTTTGCAGAAAGTCACCTCTAAAGTGTTAATCAGGATACTTGGAGACTTGTTTTTTCCCCTTCCAAAATGAGCATTATTATGAAGCCGAGATCCAGGTCTACAAGTTCCCTGAAGACTACAGACACAGTCTGGTAACGTGTTTTTTCTCTCATACTTTCTCTCCCCTTTTCCTTTTCGGTTTGACGTCTTCTGGAGTATTTAGTAATTATTGGTGAGGTTCAAGAATTAGTTGTGATACAAAAGCTTAGAGAAAGAGCACTGTATTGGACGTCCTCTCATTCTCTGTGTTGTGTCCCTTCTCTTCTGCCCTAACCAAAGTGGTGGTCCTGTTAACTCCCTGTGGGCTGGAGCCGTTCATCTGATGAGACAAGAAAGAAACTTGCAGCTCTGTTGGGAGTTCAGAAAATGAAACTTGCCCTGTTTCACTGTCTCATTCGGTTGCTTGTTTCCTCATCTTTTTTTACCCCCAGCTACATCAGCCAGCTGGTAGTTGGCTGGCTGTGCCTCTGTCTTTTTAAGTAATATCATAGCTTTTTTACCGCAAATGCATTAGAAGTTAAAAATGTTATGCATTATTAATACATATGTGCAGTCAACTTAGAATAACCTATGGAGCTAAATATATATGCGTGATAAACTTGAATTTAACCATGAGACTAAAGATGTACTGAGATATTATTCAAACATCTCCTGGGTGTTGTTAGTAATGTTCCATAGTAAAAATCTATTCTTTGCAATTATAATAGTTCCACTCCAATGAAGAGTATGTGGATTTAAGTTTATTCTTCTATTTCCCCAACATTAATTTGATATGATCATAAACATCTGGCCCATAAGGAATAGTTTCCCAACAAAGGAACTTTTGTGTTCAGAACAGTAATTGAGAGAATACTTTTATGGCTGTTATTTCAGAGGTTAATCTTAATTTAGCTTAGTGATTGGTGGTAAATAAATAACTAAGCCTGCTTCCTTAGAATGGGTGAAATATGCTTTAAATAGGGGGAATAAAGACAATGATTGAAGACAGGTGGGTGGGAATAGCATAATAGTAGGAGGTATGCAAAAGATATTATATATTATTAAAGGAAAAGTCAAACACACATATAAATACACAGATTATTTACATATGGAATTCTGCCCATGTTTATATGGTTGAATGTCTGTAGCCATTGTATTCATATTTTATACTGGATTAGAAGCTAATTTTTTTTCCTTCCAGTAAATAGTATTTTAGTATATTCTAATAGAATATGAAGGAGGAATGTCAATAAACTGTAGATAGACTTTGTCCTTTATGTCCTTGGTCATTCATTAAAAAGAATATCTATGATTAATCCTCTTTGAGTTTGTTTAAAGAAAGTTTGTATGTGCAAGTAAATTCATTCAGTGTTTTCCCTAACATAAGTTTTAGGGAAATTTGGAACCTAGTTTCTGAATTATAGCTATTGTAAGTTTCTGAGAACTATAATAAAACTTCATAAAATAAATGTTGATTTACTGTTTATACTCTGCTTACTAGAAAAGAAGTTCTGATATTTGAATAAGTGGAATTTAATAAACGTCTTTCCCTTTTCGCCTAACCTTCCATGATGCTTATTTCCAAATTGAAGATTCAACTCTAATAATTAGTTCACTTCACAAGACTAGTGACATTGGTGCACTTCTCTTGTCTGAGATTGTCACAGTCTATATTTATCCACTGTTATTCTATTTTAAATTGTATGACTTCTTTTTATAAGGATGGAGGGCTGGAATTTGAATGTACATGCAATTGTAAATAGGTATATCGCTGCATTTAATTTTAAATATTTTAAATAGTGTTGTGGCAGAATAATTTATAAGCAAGAAATAAGAGCCCTCATTATGTTAATGAGTCTTAAATTTAATTGAATTTTGTGGGCGTGTCTTCAGTTGCTAACCTTACATATGACTTTTTATTAACTCCCCAAATGTTCCACTCCTGTCTCAAATGACTTGAGGGCGTGGTTACAGTTTTTATATCCCTTTCATTATTCACATACTATACACAGCACGAATTTATTATATATAGGAGTCCCTTGGTTGTAAATGCTCAACTACTAGCCAGAAGGTCAATGGTTCAAGCCCATCTACAGAAACCTCAGAAGACAGGCCTAAAGATATCCTTCTGAAAAAGCACAGCCTTTAAAACGCATGGAGAATTCCGCACTGCAGCACACAGACCACTATGATTCTAGCAGTAATAGTACCAAATGTTCATATACAGTAACACTTCTATACACTATAAAGTAATTGTGTATATGTATTTATATACACTCATACTAGATTTATTTCAAATAAATAAAGCAGCCCTTCTCTCTGGACTTCTACACAGATCTAAGAGGCCTGCAGGCCTATGTCTTCTCCTCACCCGCCTTCCTGATTTGAATTCTCAACATTTTCTCTCCTTCGATGCATTTTCAAACACCTAAGCAAATTTCACCCTCTTTGAGAGCCACCTTCTCTTGAGAGACCCACAAGTTTAACAGTTATTCCTTTTTCACATGTTTCCCATTCCCCACCCCCAAAATTCTGGACTTAAAATCACTTTTGTAAGTCTTCTTGGAGACCCAGCTTTTGTCTTTATCGTGTTTAGTCTATTTATATAAATCTATGTTCTGGTCTATGGGGCCTTTTTCTCCAAAACCCATTTTCTCTCAATTGTCCAAAATTCAAGTGCTGCCATTTGGTAGTTTGTTATCTCTGAATTATGTAAGAATCCATTCATGTGGATTAATCCTCCATTTTTTTCTGCTTACGTCTCCTTAACTAGTGTACCATAAAGAGTAAGACATACCACACTACTTCCAATAAGCCCAATTGAATCCCTTGAGATACTTAATGTTTTAAGAGAAAGCGTCATGATAAACTCATTGTGGTAATTAATTTCACCTCCTCAAAAACCAGCTTGAGTTAGAAATGACATTTTATGATTTAGGAAAAAAATTCTGAAAAAGAAATTAATCTGTTTCCACTGAGGATCAGTGTCACAAACTTAGATTTTATTAATGAAGTAGGGAACTCTGGTGGATCTGAAAGAGAATTTCTGAGCTAACTGAAAGACCTTAATTTTCTAGTGGTTCTAATTCACTAGTCACTCCTAGGAATAAAAATGAGCAATCTCCTCCCAAGTATTTTATAACCTCTGAAAACCTGCTGGAGGGTCAACCATGAGTCGGTTCTGATCATATGACTAGAGGTAAAATGGAACTAAAAAAACCCACAAACCAAAAAACAAAAACCTAGTGAAGATTTTCTGTCTTTCTCTTTTAAAATTTAAGTCTGTATCATATATTTTAAAAATATAAATAATGCAGACATTAGCTTGTCTGTCTGTCTGTCAACTTATCTGTCCAGTCATTTATCTGTTGTTGTTGTGTACCATTGAGTTGCAACCAACCCATAGCCAACCCTCCAGTGCATTTTCAGAGGCAGTTAATTGCGTGGGAGGTGATTGCCAGTCCTTCTCCCACAGAGCAACTGGTAGATTTGAACTATGTGCCTTCAGATTGCACAAGAGCTTCTTGCCACGAGGCCACCAGAGAAAGCTCTTTATCAATCTGTTTAAACTATTTAATGTTCACAGTAGTGCAAATAAGCATTTCTAACAAATTATTTGCAAGTAAGTTGATTCAGAGTCATGGTGATCCCATGTATATGTGAGCAAACTTGCTTACAGTTTTCAGTGGTTGCCAAGGAACTTGTGGTGATCATGACTTTCCAGTTAGTAGTTCAGAACATTCTGGTGGCTTAGTGGCAAGAAGCTGCACTGCAATCCCAAAGGCGTGCGGTTCGAATCCACCAGCTACTCCATGAGAGAAGGATGGAAAATCTCCTCCCGTGCAATTAACTGCCTCTGAAAAACCTGCCAGAGGGTCAGCTATGGGCCGTTTGTACTCCGTGGTACACAACAAACAGCAGATTCAGGGCACTAACCACTGGCATCACCCGGGGACTCATTTCAAGAGGCAGATAAAAATGTTGGATGACTTTAATGCTTAGATGAAAAACTCATCTGAATTTTCCTCTCTGATTCTTCTGAATTTAACTCTCTTCTTCAGGCTGAAAAAAAAAAAATAAAACTAGGATTGGTTAAAAAAAAAAAAAAAAGATCTACTTGGCCCTGTGGTGGTGGCGTTGCCAAGGAGTTGTACTGGAACCCAAAGGTGGGACCTCTCTGGCAGTTTGAATGCACCAATAGTTCCAAGGGAGAGAGCTGGACGAAATTGACTAGATTAAGAAAAAGAAAATGTGTGACAATATTGAATAGTGTATTGGATGTTGGAAAGGATATATTACTGGTAACTTTCAATTCTGCTTTCAACAATTCTTATTTTCAATTTCATTTACAAATCTTAAATACATGTAAGTACTACTTTTTTAATTTCCTTTTTTATTTACCATATCAACATTTTTGTGTTTCTTCCATAATACGTCTATCATTTTATTCTGTTTTCATTTATAAACGGGATCTCTGCTAAGAAGTATGCACAAAATTGCTCATATACTCTAGTTAACAACTCTGAGAAAAAAAGAGTTGCTGAAGTGAGTTTTAGAGATGAAGGGATGAGCCTGAGAGGAGAATTGTGGGCTGTCCTCAATTGATGAAATTTTCAGGTTACCAGGCAACCCCACTTGAGACTTTCTTTTCATACCTCTTATCATTACTAGTATGTGTAATTGTGTCAAAATGTACAATGCATATACACATGTATAAATGTATGCACTTGGCAATGTGTAATTTGCTTTTGTTTTCCTTCTTAGATGTTCTATTTTATAGTTAACTGGAATACTGCCATACTTTTTAAAGATGCTAATAAGAACAGACAATAACAGAAAACTAGTATTGACTTATGTCAGAACTGACTGATGTCAGAACTAATTTAATGGGGAGTTGTGGCAATCACACTCCCTTATAAACCAAGGACTGCCAGTAATTTAGGTATGGCCAAGGAAGCCTGAGATTAGAACTCAAATCTATCTGGTGTGATAATACACAACTGATCCTTGAACGTGTGTCGGTTTAAAACAGGAAGCCCAGTCATCAAAGAAGTTTCCCTCCCTTCCCGCCTTCCCTGTTGCTATTAGTCCAACAGTGAGCTCAGGTGTTTCA